GGCACAAATTCGTGGTACATGCGTATCGGACGCTTTGTAAACACAACAAAAATGTAATTCTATTGTAGACACAGAACCCAATCATATTATTGACTTTTTGTGTGACCAAGGACAAAGGAATCGGATTAATACGAGAAGGAAAAAAAAAAGAGTAAAATACAAATACCTAAATGTATACGACGACGAAGACGACGACGCGTGTACAATGGAAATCGGGAGCGCCCAGAATAATTTCTATTAAAATTCTTACATATACAGTTTTTTTTTTCTTCACGTGTGTATTTGTACACCTAAAATTGTTATATTCTCGAAGAACGGTTCATCCATTGTCTAATGTTTGAAAAACAAACAATAGCTGTTATTTCCCCTCCGTCCCCCTTCTTCCGAATCGCCTCTCTTTCTAAATCTCTTTCTCCCTTTCTCACTCTGTGTTTGTTATTATTATTATTAGTATCATTATTATTATAATTATTATTACTATTATTGTTGTTATATTAGTACATATACATCTTAGTCATGATCGCGGAGGCCACTGAGGTTGAATGCCTCGCGGTGCTTACAACCTAGTCGTTTGTAAGAAGTATTCTAAGCATTTGTATATAATCGACAGCTAACTCATTACACATCATTTGTCTACTCAATAATAATGATAGTAACATTACTTTTTATTTTTTATTTTATTTTTGTATAACTTATAATATTTTAATAGCAAATTTTCTTGTGAAAAAAAAAACAACATTCGTTTTTCCATCTTCTTCTCGATCGAGAACGCTTTTGATGCGGAAAGGGAGAAATATCGTTGGCGTGTGTATGTGTTTTTTCCCTCGAAGAATTAGACAATATTGTATTATATTGTTTGAAGAACAATCGGAATGTTCATTAGCGGGGGCCAAATCATAAATCATCAAACGATCAATTGTTCTTATTTTGTGCGTTATAATTGTTTGGAAAACTTTTATGATTGATGGATACGCGGTGGATTGACATCATCACTACTACAGTGCAACATTGTAGGTACGCATTACACACAGTTATTTAGGTATGTAGGTTTAAGCAGGCAGGCAGGCAGGTAGGTATAATGATATCCGCGGCGTAGGTACGGGCCGGTGCGAAAAAAAAAACATAACCAACTACAAAAACAATCAAACGATGATGATTTGGGCAAAGCCAAGGCGCCACTGCGTAATTAAACGTTAACGATGCGCGTGTGTTGTGTGTTTTTCAATATGTGTGTGTGTGTGTGTGTATACAATTGTCGGCGGGTCGATGATTTGTTTCGCTTCGGGAGGCCCGGCAGAAGAAGAAGAAGAAGTGTCCTTTTGAGGATCGACGATCGGACAGACGCCCGAAGAATCATTAAACAAAAACGGTATTAGTCTTGTGCCAGTGTGCAGTGCCTATGATATAGCCAATAGGTATAGACCGCGTACGATAGTTGATAACCAACACTAATAATTACAATCATCGGCCAGGGTCACTGGAAATAATTATTAATATTCTCTCTCGACGCGGCAATCGCAGATCCAAGTATCGAGGGACATAATACAAATATTACTGAACATCCGAATTTGGATACACCATAATATATGCATCTTGCGGTTCCGGTGCACTTTTGCACACACAAATAAAAACCAAGTCGGCTCGAAAACCGTTAAACATTTAATAATATTGTCCCCTGTGAATGGGCGTACCCATATTATGTACCTACCCGGCATTAACAGCGATCACTAAAATACCATACAATGTACGGCCGAGTATTTACACTGCATACGCTCAGAAGCGCTAGGGATGCGCGCTTATTTCGATGAAATAATATTGTCTAGTCGAGGCGCGCGCCGGCAAACACTTGTTGGTTGGTTGGTGTTTTTTTATTTCTCAGAGTTATTGGTTTTAAGCATAATAATGCTCATTGTGTTGCCAGGACCCACTGCGACGACGCTATAGTATCTGTCTATAATATTTTATTTGTATTATTATGTGTTTGCGCTATGTACGTATGGTGTGTGTGTGTGTGTTTGTGTGTGTGTGATAAATGATTACAAAACAATTGAAAACGACCTGCTGTGGCAGCTGAGGGCATACGTATAACAACGGTGTATAAAAATACACACATAACACACAAGGAGGAGTAAAGAAGCGCCCCCCCGCGATCCCTGCCGAACAAATATTGTTCTTTACCATTCCCGGCCGGTCATTAACCATTGACGACGTGGCGGGCAATTAACTTGACCGCGATGACACATTGTAATTAGGCGCACCGAAGAAAAATCGGATTTATCAGTGGTCCGTATCCATTTCTGTATTTCTTACTCGTCGTTGTCGTTTTCCCCTCTGCCCCATTACCCCTTGCACTCGACGGTCGCTGCCCACTATATTATAATACGGCGACCGGCCGACTTGTATAAGTAATAATCGATTTCCTCTCTATGTCTTGTGCGATGGCAGTGCATAGGACATTAGGCCGTTATTACTGTACTACCAAAAAAAAAAAACCCTCAAGAATACCAGTGATTGGATCCGCTGTGTATAATATACCTAATATTATATTAAGTCTTCCGCTTTTCTCCGTAAGCGCACAATAATAATACTACACCGTTTACAGAAGGCATTGGGCCACGTCGAGAGCTACTAGTGTTTTCTTTTAGGACCACGATGATAATAATAATAATTGTTTATTATATTTGTATGTATGTATGTATGTATACTTTAAACTATTATGGTCTTACACCCCCCCCCCCCCATTCATGTATATATCGCATTGTGTACACAGACAAACACACTTGAAATCGAATCCCGCCGATGAGTCATTCGCCGTGCCGATTGCGCTTTTCACCCTTCACAATTATTGCTCCTGCAGGACATCATATAACACGTGAACATGCAATCCACGACGATCGCGTTACTACAGTGTGAGTGTATGGATCGTGTAGATCACCACTGATTCGTTTCGTTCGCAGAGGGTTGTGCACCGTGTGATGGGTAATATATAGGAAAACCGAACGATGAACTTGGTTTTCTCAAAAGAAAAACTAAACGAAACCGCCGGCGTTTATTAAAAAATACATAGTACACATTACACACTCAAACACACAACATATATAAACACAGAACAAATACCGTGAAAAATCGTTATGATACGTGAGCGCATGCACATAAGACTTTACTCGACAAATTACTAACGGTTGTAATTCATATGCTGTTCTTCCTTGTAATATACATACATAATGTGATTTATATTATAATACACAGAACGTGTATGCCAAATGTTTTTTTTTTCGGAAAAAGTCAAAAACTGTATTATTATATGTGCGATTATTTTATTTTTATTATTATAATACAAAAATCGAGTTTCGGTATGGGGAAAAAAAACTATTGCTCGTTCGGACAGGTTAAAAAAATAACACACACACGATTTTCATACTTCATAAAAATAATAATAATGTGCGCATACGTTTTAAAAACTCTCCGTATTTCGTGTACACTTAACTCGTTCTGACAGGTGTAACGATATGTTTTAATAACAACAAAAATAATAATAATCGTCGTGCGTTTCATATTAATATATAGTATTTATAATATTATATCTATACAAATAAATAATAATATGTGTATAAACGAGCTAGCGTTATCCCGCGTGCAGAAGTCTACGCTCTCTATTGTGTATGCGCTTGAAAGTATTTATAAAAAGCATAATATTATATTCTTAAAAAAAAAAAATCGTTCGGTAAATAATAATAATAATAATTGTTATTTTATGTGTGTGTGTGTGTTTCACACTGCCTCATTGATGGGTATAACGAAATTATTGGTTAAAAAAAATAATAAATAAAAGAGAACCAAAACAAAAAACGCTCTTTGATATCGTGGGACGTCTGTGCGCCAGCAGTCAACAATCGATCACGTTGATGGATTTTTGCTAAAAATCCAAAAAAAAAAAACGGCGGGGATATATTAAATATTTTTTTAATAAAAAAAAAAAATAAATAAGAATACAAAAAAAAATATATATATAGTACCTACCCGTTGTAACTTTTTTTTTCCTCCAGTTTTTTGTTATTATTATTATTATATTGTCGCACATCTGCCGTTGACCTTTGAGACCGATATATGTGCGACTGCAACTCGCGGTGTGCTCCCCTTTGCACAACAAATAACACATATCAGTTTAATAGACGAGACTCTATATTATATTATGACCTTTGCCACTCCACGCGACTGTCGATACCGCCCATATATTCCTTGACAGTATCCGGTAAACCGTGACTTTTTTTTTTTACTGTCGTTCAATATCATTGTTCGCTTTATATTATATTGTTGGTTGATCTTTCTTTTATGTATTATTATTTTTTTTTAACCAAATAATTTTTATTGGCCGAAATCCGCCTAGTCACATTTGGGGACTTGATTAACGACTTATTGGCGGTCCGTCTTCTACGACCGTTAGGATAAATATAATATGTCATTGATAAGTATAATTATGTAACTCTGTTAAAGGCGAAATTTTCACTCGAATAAAAAGTGGGTTATACGGTATTCTGACAAATTTGCAAATAATTTGTTCATTATCCTTGTTAAAACATGAGCAAGCCATGTAATCATGTACTTATAAGAATTTGGCCGCACTATTCGTCTTACCAATAATATCATTTATTTAGATTATATCAGCGCACAAGAAATTCAATATAGTTTAACTAAGTGATGATATAAAGCAAAAAAAAAAATCATTATATTATTATATATAAAAATATTACAGAGATTATTAATAATAAAATATATATATATTTATATACACTTGTGTTAAACTATATAGAATTTCGGGTTTGCTTGTCGTTGAAAACCAACCAAACCAATTTGTCGTACAAACGTGTTTTAATTGAACGTTTTGTTGTATTTAATTTTTTTGTTTTGCTTTGTTTTTTAATTATGTTTTATAATCTAATATAATTAAATATTATACACTTTAGTTAAACTATATTAAATATTTGGTTTCTTGTTCGCAGGTGCATGATGTCGCACAAGCCGACTGACAGGTAGGCAACAGTGTTTTGGAAAATTATAAAAAACTAAAAAAGTTTTACGTTTTTGCATGTCGGATAAGTAAGTGTTATAATAATAGTGTGTAGTATCATAAAAATCTAAAGAGCCATTCAGCCATACCTACGATGGATATCAACGTCTGGCGAGCAGACGCGGTGGCGGAGCATGAAAATTTGCTATACTTCGGCCGAGATAGGACTGTAATTAAAATGAAAAAAAGAAACGAAAGAGCCTCTTGCCGCCCCTTTGTAATGATCTTCTATGCGGGGACGCGTCGGAGGGGAAGGTGGAGAAAATCTGAATCCGAATAAGAAACATTTACACATTTTTTCGTTATTAAACGTCCGCATTTGTTTCTCGTGTCGGGTTTAAATTAACTCTTCTCCCCCGTCCACTCGGCAGTACGAAGCCCCTTCATTATTTAATAAGGTTATAAACGCAAAAGAAAAATATCCCCCTCTCTTTTCCGTCGTTTAATTAATTACGTCTGTTCTTTCCGGCGTTTACATTTTTTAAAAGTCTTATAAAATAATTTTGATATTTTTTTTTTCCCCGTCCCGTATATACCCGTCGGATTACACTTATAATTATTTATTTTTGTCAGACCGATTTTGGAAATAAATTCTTTTTTTTTTTCTGTCTTATTTTTTCTAACATCCGCAGATTTACATTCCGAACGCTTTAATCGGATTTAATATTAAACATTTTTTCATTTTTGACAGACCCCTTTCTTCTTTTTGCCGTTAAACCACCGGATGTAGTCCGTGTTTTTACACATTTTTTTTCTCCTACGCACATTCATAACCCGTGAAGAATAATAGTATACGTATGCTGTCCGGTCCACGACGGTGTAATATTATTTTCCGTCGATAGTCGTTTTCGTGACAATTTGACCGGAACTATATGGAAAAATATTATTACTCCCCGTTTGAGGGGGGGGGGGTGGATGTGTATTATGATAATTTACAACCATAGACGGTTAGGTGAACGTTTTCGGCGTGACACTGCGGACACTGGCCGGACGGCATGTTATTTCACAGACCCCTGCGGCTATACGCGTTTAGTAGCGTGTACGGTGTTCTGAAAGGTCCGAAAGTTCAACAGACGGTAAACGATTTGTGGGCTCGCCGAATCGACAAAAAAAAAAAAAAGAAACCTTTCTGGTCATTTCGCGTACGAGATGATCCTCTTACGTTTTACGGTCCGAATGACGCAAACCGTCGGTGACACGGCCGAGTGTGTGTATTCACACGTTGAGTGGTGCGAATTCGCCGACACTGTATCTGTGTCAAAAAGGTGTAGGCGAGCGGGTGTGTGTATTTTTGAAAAAAAGAAAAAAGGTAAACCCTAAAAACGCGCGGCGGTGCCTCTTGTACTTAATGTAGCCTCTGTTTAGTCCCTCGAAAAAAGAACAGCCGTCCTCTCGTTGGTATTTAGAGCGGGCGTGCGGCCAATAGACTCGGGAGACCATGAAATTTCCAATCGGACAAAAAACTAACCAGATGTCTTTTTCTTCTTGTCCTAGTCCTACGAAAGACGTACGAAAATAATATAATACTTATGTGTACGCCTTGACGAACACCATTATAACCGCGCGCCTAATGGAATAGGTGTGAGTGTTATTCCGTTTGTGTTTGCCTGGTCGGTTGTGTGTGTGGCTGCGATGATACCCCATCGTATATAGTATGTATGGGCTCGGGGTAGTGTTTTCTTGTAAACAAGGAGCTCTTGACAATCGTTGAGGAGACACACTAGTACTTATATAACAATAATAGTGTGAGTGCGTGTGTTTGTGTGTGTGACACGTATAATGGATGTTAAGCAGCGACACACATTTTATTCGAGTGGTGTTATCCGTGTGGCGGCGGCGGCGGCGGCGGCCACCGATGTAAAAAGGAAAGAAACACGTTTAGGCCAATGTAATCCTCGAGGGCGTATAAGGGATGTACGTATGTTGCTATTATTATTATCTAAGCGTCGCTATCGCGAAGGAGATCATCGTCACAAAAAAAACACAACACTTTCCTCGACGGGGACAGCTGGTGGTTGTATTACTACTTAAACGGTCTCGTCTCTCGCGCATTGTCGATTTCGATTACAAGTACTCGGCAGCACGCTTTTTTCCCCCTTTAGGAAAAACACATAGCTACAAACGAAAATCACTGTACAGTATCAATTATTATTATAGCACGATAATAATTAAACATATAGATACGGCACCTGCGAGGGTAGTTTATTTTGAAAAACGTTGCCATATAACCTAGTCGTGGAGAATAAATAACAATTATTATACTCTATAACTTCTAATCTTATCGACACCGGACACAATAAGTCGGCGACGGCGGCGGATAAGCGTAGGTCGTTCCATGAACACAACGAATCGGATTACCAAGAGGAAATCGTTGTTATCGACCGGGTTAAATATTATATGTATATATATATATATAATTATTAATTATTATTATTATAATTATTATTAACGCGCTATACAACTGGCATTTACTTGTTGTCTGCGGTATTTTAATTGCAACCGTTCTCACCGACAGCTCACATACGTCGTATAATATCTATTCAGGGTTATTAAAATTTTACTATTTTTATATTTTATATTATTATTTTATTTTTATATATTATACTTATTTCATTGAAAAAATCATTGTAACATGACATTTGGATTACCCTATTATAGATGTATAATACATGTATGTATATTTTCCTAGGTGGAGTGTATCTTTTATTTACTTTATCTGAAACAGGTAGATTAGGTTTTTCAGTAATAAACGGCCGTGTTTTATGTCTCTGTGTCTGTGTAAACAAGAAGCTGAAAAAACCGTATTAAACTCATAAAATAATGTTTCACGTCTCTCTTTTAGGGAATTCGTTATATTTCACGGTTCGCGCCGGTCGCCCATTGTTTAACCTTTACCGTGGTCGCGGTTATTGCGTATAATCGATTTCTCGTGCACCGGTCACCCGACGGTAAAGTTGTGATCCTATTATTATTATTATTTTAACATTTGTTATTTTTTCGTTTATTCTTTTCATCTTAGGAAAAAAACTCCTTCGTTCAATAGACAAATTGACCGACGAATTTTCTCGTTTCGGCCCAATCATCACAATTGTTTTGTGTGTGCCCAACAATTCCATCTTCTTTATCGCGTCCGGTTTGATATACATGCATAAAGATTTTTTTTACATAATTTATTTTACTGTAAAACGCATAGGAGCAAAAAAAAAAATAGCAGACCATACACATTATTAGGTGACAACGATGACCACTAGTGATACAATAATGGTCCGGTCAAACGATCACGTTCCCTATACGTGTCGAGCATTGTGTCGTTTTGTATACGGCCTCGTTTTTCCTTTAAAGATTTACGGTAGCCGTCGTTGTTTGTTTTTTTTTAATTTTAATATCAATTTGTTCTGTCCGGCCAACCGAACGGACCGAACCGTCATTGTTCAACCCGAAATGCCGAATACCTATGATCTATTTATTGAGATATTATTATGGTATATAATATAGAGATGCCATCCGTTTTACGCCGAATAAACGATAGCTCGCAGACACGGCTTGTTTAAGTCTTCGGGCGGCCCCTCGCGTAGCTTCGTACTCACGTCAACCGTTGCTGGTTTATAGGACTGAATGCACTTTAAAAGCGAAAATTTCATTAACGTCATTTTAAGGTGAATTTATGTCGTAATTTCCGTTGGCATAGCGCAGCAACACTTACCACACGTATACACGACGACCAACACAAGGAGAGAGAAAGAGAGAGAAAGATGTGGCCGTTGCTCACTGTGCTTTAACTGCAGTTTCGCGCCCCATAACAACGAGGAAAGACAATGGATGCTGTTGCCGCGGTCGCCGCTAATTCTTTGCAACACCCCCAAACAACAGTGTAGTGTTTTTCGCGCAATAATTTACACGGGTCGCGAGAGTACGAATATTACACGGTGCAATAATTATTGTTTTCGTTAGCATAAAGGCTTTAAAACGATTCGAAGGATTAAGTTTTAATTAAAACACAAACCGCTCCGGGAACAGACGAGAAACTTTTCTTCGTCTTCTGCCTCTCTTCGGTCTTGCACCCTCGCCCCTCGTCTCGCTCACTCTATTGTTATTGCATATAATATGTTTTTAAGTTATGTGCGAGTACACATATTTTATATATATATATAATATATATATATATATATATATATATGCATATATACACACACATAAAATATAAAAGCATATAAAGACAGTATAAACATTCGAAATGGGCGAGAGCACGCCAATGTTAAAAGCGAAAGAGGGGCTCGTCGTGAAATTCCTTTGAGCTTGTATGCATTTATATGTGTATATAACCCATCTTATTATTATATATTTGTACGTATAAGCCCATATGTACCAAATCAATATAATATATTATATGTGTGCAATATTGGGTTGTTGTCTCTTTTAAACGACGTGTACCTACGCGCGGGGATTTAAAAAACGAGTAGTAATAACAAAAAAAAAAGAGAAGTAAAATGAAAAGTAATAAAAATAATTTAAAAAAAAAAACTAAAATGCAATAACGAGGATTATAGTTGTGAACAAACAACGGGCGTAAAAACGTAATGAAAAATACACCATGGCGCGAAACGATTTGCTGCAAACAAATAAGTGAGAGCAGGTCGGCTTATGTACCAATTTGTGCATATATTACAATAATATTACGATAATATATCTTATTATAATATACTGTTTTTACTACTACTACGCTAAAAATTTAGATTTAATTTGTATAATATAAATCGAATAATAATTATCAAAACGAAACGGTTTAAGTTGTGTGCTCGAATAAAGCGACGAGTAAGTAAAACAAAAGGCAGTTCAAAGTCGGGAGGGAGGCTAATTTTATTTCTTAGTAATTACATTCATTTGTCGTGTCAAAACTTCATTCGTCGCGTTAAAAACGTTAAATTTGATTTAACGGTGGGATATAACCGTCAGTCGTGATAA